CAGACATATCACCTGTTTATATTCCGTAAATCGATCAAAACATCACTGGCCTCACCTTTAGCTAAAGCATATCGCAGGTTCTTAAGTAATTTATTCTTATTGCTCTTGTGTAATACTTTGATGCATTGATTTGTAAATTATTAATAATTGTCATGTTTTTTTATAATATGGTGGTCTTATTGGCATCATTATCAATTTTTCAGACTGAAACAGTGTTGAATGCATTGTTGCCTGAGTTAAGCCAATATTCACTAGCTTTAAATAGAAATGCATAGGCAAGTCCTTGGATATATCATAGCCTTTGCTTTATGAATTTAATTTTTATTTTATTTTATTATTATTTTTTTTTAGTATATACATATTTGATTTTAAATCAACTAACTCTTTTATTACTTACATAAGATCTGTAGATAAATATTCTGCAATATTAATTGGTTTTCATAATGGCATGTTAGTGAGTATATTTACAAGATCACAATATTTTGTTTTATTAACTGATGCGATCCAAGTATTATGGTTATGAATTTTAATGCTTGTAGCATTTTTTGTACTTCGCACAAGAATCTCTGAACTATGATTTATAGCACTTATAATCTGAAATCGAGATAACAAAACTATCAAGTTCATCTAGAAGCTATTTAAATTTGGGTGTTAGCATTAGTGATTTAAACTGAACAAAATTTTTTTAATCAGTTAACCAAACTGAATTATTTTATCAACTGGTTGCCAATCAGTCAAGATTAACTATCTCTACTTTTCAGAAATTCCCAGAAATTTGCTCAAATTTTTGTCTTAACTTGCTCATCTTTTATGTTTATTCATTTTCTTTTTAGAACCTTTGCTCCCTCCTTGTATTATTTTTATAATACATCAATTCTGCCAACTAATTGCCCAATTCTCAACTGGATGTACCGGATTAACCAATTAAGAATTTCTTCAATCGGTTAACCAAAATTTGTTTAGTTTAGATCAATTAACCGATTATAAGCCAACCAATTCAAATCACTAGTTAGCATCTATGATATTGCAAGATAATGTGCAAGAGACTAGTAAAGAAAATTAAGTTCATTTAAATCAAATCTCTTTCATACCTCCTTATATGATTCAGAGTTAGCACATCTAAAAAATTGTATAAATATCAGTAAAATATGGTAACTATGTTCTTTAAATTTATTGTAAGAAGATCTGTACAACTCTTTTCTGTACACTTTTGGCAGAAACAAAGGCTTACTAAAAAAACAAAATACACACATTAAATACAGAACTAAACCCTTTTAAACTACAATCAGCAGGGGCTAAAGCCCTTGCTCCTTTAAAAAGAAAACATACTCAAGCTTTAGAGATTAAACTACCATACAAAAAATATAAAACAACAACAATGGCCTCTGAGCTCAACAATAAAAAAAAAACATGCCAAAACCTACTTTGTCTAGCTTTAAGTCCTCAGATGCAAGCTCTACTTCAAACACTTCAGACTCTACTCAAGACACAAAGACAGTTTCTCAAACTAACAGCAAAGCATCCTGGGATAACTTGGTAGAACAAAAATCTCTTGGGCTCTCTCTACCATATCACATCTAGAAAACAACAAAAACATGCTAAACAACAAAACAAAACACATGTCCAAGAGGTACTCAGAAGAGTTAGGTCCCACACATGACATGATCACTCATTTGGGAGTACAAATATCTGATAAAAACCCTTATAGGCAAACTCTAAACAAAGAGCTTGTAGAACATGACAA